TCGGTTTCCGTGCTCATGTACTCCATGAACTCGAAGACCTCGACGTAGTCAATCATTTGTGCGAGGGCAAAGTTGAACAGATCATCAATGATAGCAGCTCGGTTCTCAACGGGGATTCCACTGTGGCCGGTCTTTGTTAGAGCTTTTTGAATGTTATCAAGCAGTGGTTGCTCGTACTGAACTCGATGATAGTTGGCCTGCTTTAAATTTACAATGACCCAGTCGATGGGCTCATCCGACCAGCGTTGATATATGTCAACTAGTTTATGAAAGAAAAATGCAGGCGTCGAATTTGTGAAATTTGGAGCCAGATTCGTAGTGTAGGTGATGGGCACCGTGTAACGCAATTCGCTGTCACTGCCATCTGTGTCATTCAGCAGGAATCGTTGCTGATAGAAATTGATCTGATGACCCTTAACGGAGAGGCTCACTGTGATCAAAGGGTAGCCAACTTGAACAATGAAGTCGTAAAAGAATTGACCCAAACTGATATTTTCCTGATTAGGCCAATTAGCCTGGATGTGTTTCAACAGATCGGAAGGATTTGTGTTACCCAAGTAGCTGGAGAAGAAATCGGTAATGTGATTCAGAATTTCAGAGCCAATGGCGTACTTGTACTCACAACTCCTTGAGGTAGTTCGCGATGGCTCTGTTGAAGTTCTCTTCGCCCATTGCAAGGGACCACATGCGGATCACGCTGGCGGCCTTGGCGAATGAAATTCGGCCAAACTTGTGGGCGATGTCTGCAGGTGTCTGTATGCTTGCATCTGAACTGGTCATCGGCTGAGTTATATTCAGAGAGTCCGTCGTAAGGACGTGCTGAAGTTTATGCACGACAAACTGCTGGTCCAATTGATACTCCGGATATAGCTGCAGAAGAAATCGATAAAAACTGTATAGAAAAAATCAATTGGATAAACACTAATGAGTCACACAAAAGGACCCTACAAGTAATCACAGCTCATTCCAAGGAAGCCATCTTCTTACCTTGTGACCCATAAAGAACTCGTAGTAACGCGCGAACCCCTCGTGCAGCCAGATGGAGCTCCACCATTTGCAAGTGACGCTATTGCCGAACCACATGTGTGCGTTCTCATGGACTATATTGCGAATTGTAAACTCCTTCTGCGCCCATCCATCCGTAACTCCGGGCTGCTCCAGAAGGACCTTATCCCTAAATTATTTAGATTTAGGCTAGCCCCGTGATTCACGTTACCTACGTGCACTACTCACTTGAAAATCACGAGGCCCCAATTCTCCATGCTGTTATGGGGAAAACGGGGCGTTGTCGCGTATTGTAGTACATCGTTGCCCAGTTCCTGATAAGGCTGCTGGAACAGCTCCCCATATGCTGGCAGTACACGCTCTGCGACAGAGTAGCTGAACTCCGTGTACTTATTGTACGCCGGACGGGTATGAATGGAGAGGGTACTGTTGCCGCGCATCTGGTACTCGGAGACCACAAACGCCAACAAATATGGGGACATTATGGGTGTAACCTCAAAGAGGTCGGTGAAGCGATTATTTCTGCAATTGTTAAATAGGTAATGCAAATTTCCTTAAGCTCAACAACCTGGAGGCTTACCCCTCGTCTTTCGTTTCCTTTAGCTTCGTATTACTGATGGCATTGAGGCTTTTGGGTCGGGTGATGCTTAGCTGAAATTTGGCCTTGAAGGTGGGCTCATCGAAGCAGGGCAAGACCAAGCGCGCGTTGATGGGCTGCATCTGAGTTAAGAGCACCCACTTGGTCTGCATGGCCGCCTCGTCCATATAGCTTGCGGAGAACAGGCCTACAGTATCAGTCTGAATTTTTCCGACATACTTGAAGAACAAAGTGTAGGTTACATTGGCAGTCAAAGCCTGTTTCAGAGGCACAGTCAGTTGCTGTGCTTCCTCTACAGAAGTCAGTTTGGAGTTATTAAGCTCCTCAACCTGCTTGCCAGCGGCGTCATAGAGCACACACTGCATGACGCTAAGTGTCACATCTTTGTGCAGGGTGATTTCCTTCACATCCTCAAGTGCTGTCTGCAAGGTGATGCTGACCTTGCCATCGAAATTCTGAGCAGGACTGTTAGGAACTATTGTGTTGTCCCGCAGACTGATGCTTAGGCTGTAAAACGAGGGCAACACGTTGGTGTTCAACCTATAATTGATCTCACACTTGCAACTCCCGATCCATGCCAATGTGATAAGTGCGGCCAAGGGCCAAATGCCAGACCACGAAC